GATATAATATATCCAAGATATTTTACTTTTGGTTGATAGAATATATATATATATATATATTTTTAATTTGGCATATAATCATATATCTTGTAACTTTTGTTAGACTAATTGTACATATTCTTCATATTCTTTATAAGATTTGGAATAGATTAAGATATCATCAAAATAACAAACAACAAACTTGTCTAAGAATTTTCAAAAAATATCATTCATTATGTGTTGAAATATAGTTGGAACATTTTCAATTCAAAAGGCATAGCATTATATTCAAATATTTGTATCTTGTCCAAAATGCCTTCTTTCATTCATCTCCTTCTTTAATCTACACCAAATTATATGCTACTTAAAGATTTATTTTGGTATAGATCTTAGCTTGACCAAGTTGCTTTAAAAGCTTCAATATTAATAATAATGGATAACGATTCTTTATCATTAGATTGTTGAAGCCATGATAGTCAATACACATTTATAAAGATCTATCTTTTTTCTTCAAAGAAAGTATTGGTGTACCTGTTGGAAATTTAGAATATCAAATAAAGTTCTTTATAAGATTTTCGTTGATGTAATCTTTCAATAGCAAAAGCTTGTTTTGTGATAGGTTGTAGATTGGGCCAAATGGTGGTTGACCCCCTTCTTAAAAATTAATGGCACAATTATATGGTCAATGCTCTTATAATATATTAGCATTCTTCTTTTTGAAGATATCTTAAAACTTTGTATACTGCCTTGAGATAGCTACTAGCAAGTTTGCTTCTTCAAGATCTAAAGTGGCATAAATAATAAATGGCATTTTATACTTAGGTGTCTTCATAAAAGACTTTACTCCCAAAAGTTAAGGCTTTATTATTGATAATTTCTTAACAGGAATTTAATAGGAAATTCAATCTTATGACACCTCCAATTTATAGATAGATTATATCTTTTTAACTAAATAAGTCTTAAAATAATAATATTAGATAGATTTTTAATAATATTAAATATTATTTTTCTAATATGGCTTTCAAATGATATTTCTAGTAGTATAGTCTTATGAGTAATAATTTCTAAAGATAAAGGTTAATCATCTATTATTTCTATATATACAAGTTTTGACTTCTGCACTGAAAGAATTTTATGAAGTTTAAAAAACTCCTCATCTAAAAGGAAAGTAGATGCTCTTGAATCTAATAAGGCATTTGTTTAAAGTTTTTGTAGGCCAAAAAATAAAGGTATAATAAAACAATAAGTAGGTTGGATAAAGAAAGAGGGACCTTCATAAATTTGAGATATTGAAATGTCAAGTGGCACGATCCTTATTGTGGCTAGGCTTCTTTGTTTTCTTAAAATTTTTTACTCCTAGTCCTATTTATATGTTTTTTTTTTGAACAATTTTCAAATTTATAACCTTCTCTATCTCAATAAAGACAAAGGCTTTATTAAAATTAATGATTCTTTTCTTCTACATTAAGAGGTTTGAACCATGCTACATCAATTTACATATTGTTAACTCTACAGTATGAAAGTAATATATTTATTGAAGCAATAGAGTAGGAATTTTTAATGTATTGTTTTATCAAAGTCCACAAGTGTTGAGCTTGACTGCATTGAAATAATTAATTATTATACTTTATATTTTGGCTAATAACTTCATTGAGTGTTTGAGGATCAAATAATGATAGTAATAAGTCTTTTACATCATTTTTTAGAACTTATTCATTCCATTTGATGTCATAAGCCAATTATCTAAAATTAGATATATAAATTGATGTAAAGCATGACCTTTGGCATAATGAACAAATCTTTGTTGTTTTCCATTAAGCCTTATCATGTTCTCCAAATGTCTCTGCAAATACTTCTAAGAAAGCTTCAAAGTTGCTTAAGATTAGAGATCTTTTTTTAAATAAAGGAAAAAACTAAGATTAGGCTTGTTTTATGAACAAGGTTTTAACTAAATCAATTTTCTATTCTTTTATTACATACCACTAAAGTTGTAGAAAAATTACCAATAAAATTTGGTTAATAAATCCTTGAAACTTCAAGCATGTGCAATTAAATATTTTTGGAAGATTAAACTAAGGCTCTTTACATTATTGAATAGGTGAATTTTCTTATTGAAGTATAAGTGCCACTATCTCCTTAGATATAGAAGCTTGAGAAAGTAGTTGTATCACAAGCTGACTTGCTCCAAGTCTTACATTACTATGAAATCTTGCAATAAATCTTTCAATTTCAGTAGTTTTATAAGCTAAAGCATTTAGTTTATTTATAATAACATCTAACTTGGACTTGAGAGACTCAACCATATTAACATCTTCACCTCTAGCAATCTTAAAAATATATATATATATATATATATATATATATTAAACAATACTAATATAGATGCAGATACTCTACAACTTCTAAAATACTCAGATGCCTTCAAAAAGAGAGGTAATCCACTCTCTATTAAGAATGATCAAGCTCTAGGATTGATAAGATAGCAGTTTCAACAAATTACTATAGATATACTATACTTAAAACCAAACAAGAAGTTGAACTAAAAATTTTCAACATAAAAACTAACAAGAACTCAATTAAACTAGAGGAATATAAGATCAATACTAACAAGGTAATCTACAGCTTTAAGAAATATGTTATCAAGATTGAGGATCCCTTTAGCCTTGATTCCTATATATATTAGATATTAAAAAGCTTCTTAAGAATTTTTCATGTTCTTTGAAGATAAAGCAACTATAATAAGTTTCATAAGAAGTTTTCATATTTTTAAAGATGAAGCAACTCTAGGAAGCTTCTCAGATAACTTCTTTAATTTTCTTAAAACTTCCTAGAACTTGCTAAAATATTTTAAGAAATTTTTAGAATCTTTTAGAAATATTTTTAAAATCTTTTAAAATCTTCTAAAATCTATTAAAGTATTTTTAGAATATTTTTAGAATCTTCTTGTTGGATGTTTGTAAAAAATATTTTAGAAGAAGAAAGTAGTAATTGATTGGTTAGAATCAATAATATTTGGAATTTATAAATAAGACTACAATTAATTCATATATGAATATAATTAGCTTATTAATCCAATTCAATAATTTTTTATTAGTTATTTGAGCTTTGTATTATAACACAATGACAACAATGGCATATTAAAACAAGATTTGCACTTGCAACAACTTATATCATAGTATTGTGTTCAAAAGTGATATAATATGAAAAAATAAGATTAAATCTTATAAGAATTGGTTTATAATAAAGAAATAGAAAATTTTCTTTTATAAAATTAAATTCTATATATTTAAAGAATGCTACTTATACATATTTTTTTTAATATTTTCATGTATTTTTATTTTTATTTTTTTGAACAACACATCATAAGAAAAAGAATAAGAATTATAAATAATAATAAAACAATAAAAATCTAACAACATCTATTGCTTCACACAAGAATATTTTTTCTTAAAATATGAGCTTTACATATTAAATATATTTTATACTTTTTAACATACTCATTTTTATTGGTTTTGATCATAGTATATATTTTATTCTTTTCATTTTTTATCAATAATGGATGTCTTTAGAATTGATGCCTCAATTCTGTATTGGTAGAGTTGTAAGATTTGAACATGAGTTCTATAAATGGTGTCAAGAAGATGAACCTCCTTAACACAAAATTAATGAAGTCTTGAAATTAATCCAATAAATGGCATAAAAAGTTCTAAACTAGTCTTGAATTTTGCCACCTAAAAACTCTAGCAAATCCCCTCCAACAAATTCATATGAATCTCCCTCATCATAGCTCTTTTTCTTGTGTGAAATAGCTTGTTAGAAAGCTAACAAGAAGATCCAGCTTTTTTTAAAATTTCAAAATAAGAAGAAGAAAATACAAGAAATGGCATAGAAATCTCTAACTAATCTTGAATCTCATCGCTTGAAAACTCCAACTACCCCCCTTTTTACAAATTCGCATGGTTTTCCTTCTTCATAGCTCCATTTCTTGTGTACTATAGCTTGTTGGAAAACTAAGAATTTGATCTAACTTTCTTCAAAATTTCAAAATAAAGAGAAGAAAATAAGAGAAATGGCATAGAAATCCCTAACGAGTCTTGAATCTTATGGCTTGAAAACTCCAGCAACCCCCCCCCCTTTTATAAATTTGCATGGTTCTCCCTCCTCATAGCTCTATTTCTTGCATGCTATAGCTTGTTGGAAAGCTAACAATGCAATCTAACTTCCCACAATTTCAAAACAAAAAGATAAAAATTCAGTAAGTGGCCTTTAATACCCAGAACCAAGCTTGAATCTCACTTCTTTCTCCAAAAATTCCAATGACCCCCCCTTTCTCCTCCTTTTGACCCCAACCCCTCCTCCTCTCAGGAAAAAAAAAAAAAAAAAAAAAAAAAAAATCCTTGATACCAAAAATCCCTATCTCCAACCCTCTCCCAATATCCATCTTGAACCATTGTAGAGCCGGGTATTTTTCCTAAAAGATAATACCCTCAAGCTCAAATAATGCATTCAAGACAACAATTTCATATTCTAAACTCTATTCAAATTTGAAAATGTATTAGTATTAGTATTATATTCCTCCTCTCCCCCTACAAGTAAAATAGTTATCTTCTAAATAGCTTGGATGCACTTAAATTGAGTGCATCACAACCATGATGCAATGCATTTGACCACAATTTATTCTCCAATGGTTTTTTTGTCTAAAAATCATACCTATGCCAAACTTGCATCACTACACAAGAAGAAAGAAAGAAAGAAAAACAAAAAAACAAATAACACACACATCTTAAATTACTTCTGGAGTGTACACTAAATGTAGCACAACATCTCAACAACCCAAAGTTAATGTCATCAAATTGAGCTGATCTTCCACTTCTGCAACTTCAAAAGCAGATACATTCCAATCAATAGCTCTTTGAAAGTACCACAATGGGGAGTGGCAAATTTGGTCAATGAATCTCCATGTCTGGGTGGAAAGATAAGACAAGGCACAGCTTGCACAGTGAAGAAGTTCACCAGAATACTTGAATAAGAATTGCCAAACTGAAATGGTGGCAGAGTTGAGTTGTTGCCAGACCAATGAGATGGACTCAATGAAGTTCATTTATGCAGATGTCATTAAAGCTCATCATGTGGAGTCATTGAGCACCAATGCACCTGATGATGTGCAATGACTCCAGCAGATACTAACTTGTAAGATTGTATTGAATCAGGCTAACAGTGGAGTTACTACAACTCTCATCAGCAGACTTAATCTAACTGAGGGCTCTCTACATTTCTAGTCACATCCATCACAACACATATGTCAATATCCCAGCATCAACCATGGCATTATGCCCACCACCACTCCTCTGATATGCCCAGATGTACTATCATCATGCTGGGACTGTAAGACACTTATCCTGATCACCATTGCTTTGGCATTGACATATCTGTGAAATTATATTTCTGCACTGGATGATCATGTACTCCAATGATGTATATTGGACTATGTCAAATCCAATATTGCAGGCCCTTCTTCATTCCTGCAAAAAAATAGGTGAACATAAAATATGCATGGTTGCAATGAGGAACAGATCATCATGTGAGCAAGGGAGTTTGCAATGAACCCTCTTCACAAATCAGGCTACAGGTATGAATTAACCATGCACCACCCAATGCATAGCAAGACTCACTCCTCTGCATCTTCCAAAAGCAAACAGTAATCAACACAACCCAAGATAAGTTCACACAATACCTGATCGTCAAAGCTAGTCAAAGCTCTTCAATAGCTATAACTCCCAGAGAACTGCTGTATTGGTCTGAAATTCTCTAACATTAATCCTCAACTACTTCACACTCTGGCAACTAGTCTGGAGGTTCTAACAATGTCTTCACCATTAGCTGTACATTACCACCTGATCATGTCAACAGGTTAGTGATTATGAACACATTTCGCCACAGCAACTCAGAGTAACGTTGGATGAGTGTAAGGACTGCCAACTCACCCGCACCACAGCAGGGTAGGCTCACAGAATGATAGGTACCAACTGCCCTCAAATATCAACACGATCTTCTCAAACTAGAACATAAAAACCACGGTCCTCCAGTAGTTTGAACAGCTCAAGTTGACATGGAGAAAGCCAACCATTGCTGGTTGCTTGTGACCACAGAGTCGCACGGGGATCTACTTCCACCCTTGACAGTAGAAACTTTTTTGAAATTGATCACATGAGTATGGTTTGCTGATTGAGAGCTTGGTAATGAAAGAGTTCTTTGTGAACAAAATCGGCGTCCAGAAACAGAGCCACAAATTCTAATAAACGGTAAACGTCCGTGAAGCTGGACAAGAAGCACAGCGATGCACACACCACAGAGAATTGACCAGCATGAAGCGTGTCTTCCTTGCAGTTCCATTTCTGCCTCGCAAGATCGATACCTCTCGGGCTACTCATCCCCGACCCACCCTTGTAGTCTCGAGATTTTTCGCTTTTCTTGGGTTTGGAGATTCCCCTCGATGTCTCATCCACTTCAAGAGTGAAGGAACCTTGCAGAATGGACGTCCCAAGGGAGATACTGCTACGATCTGCAAGTCGTTGCACCAGCGCTGGATCTAACAAGTGCCCATCAGATCCTGCAATATTGAATGTAAATGTTGAACTCCGATCGCTCTGGCACAACGGCCCATAGATTACGACAACATGCGGATGACCAGGGGTAGAGTGCCTCAACTTCCTGAGAGAACATATGAGCCAGTTAACCAGCGCTCGCAGACGGAAATTAATGCGTGTAAGACCAATTTTGTCAGCAACATCCAAGCCCCCACACACGATCATTCTTGAGGGGTTGTGGCCCTGCGATTCCGGTGTTATCGGGTTGTTTTCGCAGACGTCACGCGGGCGAGGGTAAGAAGGAGAGCACGGCGCCGAGACAGAGGACGGTGTCTCCGGAAGGGAGCCCATGAGAAACTCTTGGTGCATCTCATGTTTGCTGAAAGGCGGTGTTCTGTTGGAAGGACTGTCAAAGCCCTTAGGCAAAGTGAGCATAAGCGGAGATTTCTTCCCAAAATCTCGCGACAGAAAGCTCTCTTCGTCCACACTCATTCCCTTGTGATCCCACCCTTGTTTCGGAATCTGTAGATACCGCAATCCTGGCATGCCCTCCTTTGCTCTTTCCAACCTCGGGGTTGCATCCTGTTGTGTGCCCTTCTCCTGGCCACCGTTATGCCCTTGCGTTGCATCGGAGTGGCGCCTCCTGTGGGATCTTGAGAATTTCAACGTCACAGGTAGAATCTCTTCCTCTTTGCGTAGCGATGGTTGATGGCAATTGTCAAGTGAACTCGAGGAAGCCCTCTGGTTGTGATCTAGTGAGTCCTTGGAGTGGTGGTTGATGGAAGACGGCGATGACTGAGATCGTACCCACCACTGTTTTGATATCTCTACGTCTTCTTCTCGTCTCTTGCCTTTAAGAGGTACTATCTCCTGGACACCTTCAATTCTCAGAGCTGGATCTGGCTTTGGTATCCCGACCGGGGACATCGCATTTATTTTCTTGTGAGGTTGGTTTAGCTGTGAGCCACCCGTAATGAACCGTTCTTCGAATCGCGCATTCAAAACATCCTTTTCGCGAGGAAGCAACGTTGTTCGAGCAGAAAGATGCTGCTGCTGCTGATGGGATTCTATGGATGAACCAGATGATGAGGAAGAGCGCAAAGGGTCCCAGCTACCCGTTTCGGAACTCCCTGCTGTTGAAACAATTCGAACCATGCCAATAGCACGGGCCCGTGATGAATCCCCTAAGCTTCGTATCACGGATATCTTGATTACCAAGCAACCGAAGCCCGTAGGATCAGACCCAAAAACTTTGTAAAACGATCCCACGATGAAGTCAGGGTGGAACAGATTCAATCCCAGAGTATCCATCGCCTTCGCCCCGAGACCTGATACGTCCAAAAGCACGTGCCACCCATTTTGACCCGCTTCCCGAATCCATTGGAGCGAGTTTTTGGCACCCGAGCCGCACGATATGACGGGGTATGCCATCATTCCTTGCGTATCCATGGGCATCGGCTGATTTGGAGAGAAATCCCCTCCTTCCGTGCCTCCGTGTCCAGTATGGAATCCCCATCCTTTGGATTTCACTGCCTTCCTTTTGAGATGAAGCTTCTTCTTCACGTCCGCCTTGTCCAACTTCAGGCTGGGCCATGTCAAATTGGCGTTCATCACGGTCGCTCCTTTCGATTTAGCGCACTCGATGAGCGCATCCTGGCTCTCGCAGCAATGATCGTAGCCCAATAGCAACTTAGAGGAGACGTGAAAGGGGTAAGATTCTCCCAAAAGCTTGAAAGCTGACAATTTGTTGGCAGTAAAGACAATAGCATACTCGTTCTCATCGATGTTCATGTAGCGCAGCACCCTTCTTCTGACCATTATCTCCGTTTCCTCAGCGGTGTAGAGGGCGTGCGTGGTCAGATTGGCGGAGATGTAGGCCAACCCTAAGGCAGCCGATGGAGAGTTGGAAGCTTGCTGGGAGTAGGAAAATAGACCCACCCCCATGTAGTCCAGGCATACTTGCGACCGCTCATTCAAGTGCGGGTACTCTTGCTCGCGAATGTGGTCCACCACCAACGTATCTAGATACAATGGATACGACCTCAGAAAATTCTGGAACGCTTGCCCTTGGTTGGGCAACGCACTGCGCTCGAAGAAGACCTCCTCCATCACCTGAGCTTCTCTCACATGCTCTAAAGCCCCTCACTCACCTGAGATTCCTGGGGAAATCTCACATCCATCCTTCCTCCATATCTTCCTGTGTACTCACCATAGGCAGTGTCAGAGTCACTGTTCTATATCGTGGTGACACAATTCGTCGCTGATCTCAAACACAGCCTCATGCGGTTCTCAGAGGTTTGAGTGACGACCAAGGATAGCGAATACCTTCATGTGCGAGAGAGAAGATGGGCAGGATGGAGAAAGGATACAAGAAGCAGACACGTCTGAGTCATAGCAATGCAAGGAAGATGCACGTGATTCGAGTTCCAGAGAGTAGTACCTGAGTCTTTGAGGCTACATAGACGTGGATTTAGGATTCTGTCAAAGTAGATTACATTGAGCACTGGTGATACCATTCTGAATATGCATCTGCACGAGATTAGTCAGACAATTGCTTTGTAAGCCGCTGAACAGTCTGAAAACGAAAGATGAAGAGGAGAGTTACTTCCAACTGCCAAAGTCAATTTGCCAAGAACTTGGCGTTCAACCGAATTCCAGGTGAGATTGCCCATCCCTAAAAATTCTAGATTCGAATATTCAGCAGCTTCCTGTAACTTATGTTGCACTTGTTTAGCACGCATCTAAATCTTTCGCGAGACGGGAACCCGTTGGTTCGATTCGATGTGCCGCAAACGCATAGTGACTGACACTACTCTAGGTCGATGAAATACTCCATCGCTGTTGCACAGATCTAAGCCTAGCAAACGTGCACACATACAAGTGTAGAATGGAGGGAGACATCCAAATGCGCTGGTGGATTGAAATGCAAATCCGAAATAAATCTGAGAACAGGAGAAGCGATCCTCCCATTCCAAACACCGGGGAAAGGATGTGAATAGAAGAATCTGGGAGAAACCGGCGCTGTAGAACTCCAAGCGATATAATGTAGCGCGTTGTAACTGATGAGGCGAAGTGAGGTAGTGAACCGTTTGAGTGAAAGGGGGAGAGAGTATGGTGTCGTGGTGACACGTACATGATGAGATGATGAGACAGCTGATGCAGGAGTACGGCCTACCCCTCCGTCGCCACTCTGATCATAAAAAAGAAATCAAGCCCTAGCAAAGCACTTGAAAATGGCGCGGAGGCGAAAACAAAGCACCTGCATAGTTTCTAGTGGAAGAAGGGGGGGGGGGGTTCTAGAAGAAGCAGAGCAAGCAGCAGCGTAGAAAGAGAAAGTGTGAAGAGGGGATGGGAGAGGCCTTGGGGTTAATAAAGAGCCGTGAAGGTAATGCAGATAAGATATAAAAAGATACCTGAGAATTGCCAGCATGAGGGAGAGGAGAGGATCAGAGGGGGTGCTGAGGAATTGGCTCGTGCGCGAGGACCAGGCTTGCCGAGTTGGATGGTGTGCGATGACGGCAGAGTGCGTGTGTGCCGAGTGATGCCGCAGGCAGGCAGGCAGGCAGGCAGGCAATCTGGCTCGACCGATCATCCTCAACAAGGCAGGCAGGTCCTGTGGGAGTCCTGGGACACGAAAGTCAAGCTGCCCTTGAGCCCCGAAGTCAACAGCCCACCCTCCCTCCCCTCATCCCGTGAGCTGTGGCATCCCCACCCCCCAAACCCCATTCCATGAATCCATCCCAGGGGTTGAATAACGCCTGGGTAACATTGTCGAATGTGTGGAATTGAAGGTCACTGTCCTGGTTGTGTAGGAATAGGTGCTCAACTCTTGTCATAGTAATTTTTCTTCATCAATCAACAAATGGATTTTGGGCAATTTTAACAATTTTTAAAATATTTTTTTCCTTCGCCCATGCTTGCCAACCTGCAAAATTTTGAATTTAGGGCAGGAGGAGACTACCATACAGGTGGTTGGAATATCAGGTCGGTCTTGAGTTTAATTCCAACCACCTGTACGGTAGTCTCCTGCCCTAAATTCAAAATTCAACTAGTATCACAGATGAATGAAATGATAAAAATACAAGTTGAACAACTATCTCTCAAAATTGCCTTACCTCCACTCTTTTTTCTTTCTTTTCTACTGAAATTTCGTAGTTTTCAAGGTCATATTTAATCCCCAACTATGTCTTGGTCTTGTGAGTTGGCCACATGACAAGTATTGTGTACCAAATGGTAAGAACTTTGGTTTTACAATGACAAAGATGGATGAGGTGGTACTTTCTACTCATATTTGTAATAGAGAAGTATATCATAAACAACATTGTTTAAAAATCACAAAAATAGTGCAATAATTCATATTGCATTGATATAAAGGGATTGTTGATATCAATCAGCATTAAAAGGGTAGACTTAAACAATCATATTTGGTGCTTAGATTCTTTTCTTAAAATTTATAGTACATGATTTGTCTATTTATTTTTACTTTTACAATTTTCAGATTTCTAAGGCACATCCAAGTTTCAAGTATTATTTATATGATTTTTTAACTTTGTATTTATTATGATTTAAGAGTAGAGTAGATTTAAAAAAAACAAAATGCTTTCAAATTCTTTTTTCTTTTTAATATAAAAAATAAATGATTAACATTTTTTTACTATAACTATTTTTATAAAAAATAAATTTTTAATATTGATTTTTTAGTATTCATTGTTTATATATATATATATATATATATATATATATATATATATATCTTAAGTAATCCATGTGTAATAAATATATAACATCATTTTTACAAGTTCTTCAATATAAATCTATTATATTATATTTTTTTACATGATCATTCTAAAAAAATATGGTTTTTACATATTATATCTTTTTGTAGAAATTGCAACAACTTTTTCAATGCACATACAAAATCATTTATTTTTTTTGATAAACTAGATATTGTAAACTATGCAAGAATAATTTTTTCTTTCATATTATGCAAGTATCGAGCTTTCTATAAATGCGCACAAAGTTTTTTTTTTGTTATAGAATATTTATTTATTTATTCTTTGTGAATCCCACTTATAAAACTTAATAGGTGGAATTTTTTTAAATAATATTTTAATTTATTTAAATATTAAAATATTAAAATTAAAGAATCTATTTGATTATATGAATATTTATTAGAATTTAGCAGTGTTTATGAGTTATAAGAGTCTTATTAGAGAAAAAGTCAAAAAAATGGAGTCTTAGTAGGTCTTAGAAGTAATTATCTTAGTTGATTAAGTATAAGTTTTTAATAGTAAGAATTAATATTTTGTTATTGAAATCAATATCTACATTGAATTTCTATCTGTTTATATTATTTATTCAAAATATATAAATATTAATTAATAAGTAAAAAAACAAGAAAAAACCTCATAACTTTTTAATTATTAATATAAAAAATGAGATATTTGATTTATTTTATTATGATGAAAAATTATAAATTTAAAATAGTAATAATATTAAATTTATATTAATTTTATAAAAAAATTATAAATATTTTAAAATTTTATTTAAGACTTATAAGAAATATTTTAAAAAATTTAGAATATATTTTCAAAACATTGATAAAAATAATTTTAGCAACTTGAGAAGCTATTGTGAAGTATTTGAGCAAGATTTAAAGGCCCTACAAGATACTTAAACTAATCAAGTATTTTGAATACCTTATTAAAGTCAAACTGTATATATTAAGAAGCTAACTAAGAGCTATGTGGCAAAATTTTATAAGACCCCCAATATATATCCAACTTGCGAGACATATGTCTTAACTTGTAAGAAAAAATTTCTATGTGCATGCCACATAGTTAGCTTCTATCATAAGCTACCAACATATACAATACTTGGTTAATTTGTTGATCAAGTTTTTCACCTACCAATCAATTACAAATACATATAAAGCCAAAAAGGTATTTATAAAACTTTTAGAAAGCTTTTCTATAAGATGTTATTAAATTTATTTATTTCAATATATTTTAATTAATTTTAATTAATTTAATAATTATATATATATATATATATATATATATATATATATATGTCTATGATATTATTATTTTTTTTGAAACAAGTTCCATAAGAAGTAATTATTACATGATGATGAAGTCTAAGCTATGACATATTATATTTGCAATATACTTTAATCTTTTTTTTCTTTGAATATAATTGATAAGTCCTCTCCTTCATTGATAATATCTCATTTTAAGTTAGAAAGATCACCCTAATATTTAATTTTTGTTGAAGCCTTTGTAACTTCCTTGAAATAAAGCATTTGTAATACTATCAAGAATTGTTCTTACTTCCAATAAAATCACCTAAAATTGAAAATTTCTTTTAAGGTTGTGATTTCAAATACATTATATCTTGCCATCTATTCAAGAAAGAACATGTTATTCTTGAGGATTTTTATCTCTATTATGTCATCTTAAAGGTTGTAACAATTGTAATTTTTTATTTGATAAGTCAAAAAAGAATAGCTCTTGAATTAAATTTACTAGTTGTTAATTTTCCATCTCTTTAATGTTACATATATAAACAAACTACAAAAAAAGGTAAGAGATAGAATGCAATGATTGCTTGACCTTATTTCTTTTATAATAAAGATTTGTTACCCTTTATATTGATTTTAATAGATGTTATCATTAAAAAACATCAATTTTTTTTATTGTATTTCCAAGATTCTTATTTAGTTTCTATATGTGTTCACTAATATCATATCTATATAAGTCAATAAGATATTCTAGCCTATTTTAGGAGCACTTTGAATGTAAGACTTCTTTGATATCAAATTCTTTATTCTAATCTACTTTTATAAAAAAAATTGCATTTGTCCTCTTTTCAACATATCTATTGTTTTATACGGCTCAAAAAGAAATACATAGAGTACATAATGGATCTTTATAGACTCCAACAAGTGCAATTAGTAAGAAATTGGATTAATCCATTTATAAATAAGAAATGGTCCAAGTTTAGTATAATCCAACTTATTACAAAAGGAACAGTTTTGATATTACAACAAAGTAATTATATCTTATTACTAACATGGAATTGAGCTTATTTTTGGTGATAGGCATATACACCAATATTTTATTATTCTTAAGATACTTTTAGTTATGCTTTCATTGTTGCATGTAACTTTGATAATATTTTTTTAAATCTTCTAAAATAAGATTATTAACTTTTAAAAAGTCAAAAGTATCAAGTAATAGATAATAACCATAATTAATAAAAAAAAGTTTGTTTAAAAGATTAATATACTATGTTATTAAAAAAAAAGTTTAAGAATAATCTACTTTATTTTAGAAGATAAATACACTATGTTATAAAAATAAACTTAGCTAGTAGCAAAAGAATTATTCTATCATATTATTAGTAGTTGATAGTATACCTCAAAAACTATTTCAAAACTTGATTTATCTACTCTATTTGTCCATTAATTTGAAGATAGAAAGAAAAAGTTAATTTTATATTTATTTTTAGAAACTTAAAAAGAATTCTCCAAAATCTTGATACAAATTGAATCCTCTTATTCGACACAATATCTCTTGGTAATCCATAATAGCAATAAATGTTATTAAAAAAACTTAATTATTTCTTTATTTGTCATAGATTTTTTATAAGGTACAAAATGTGCCATCTTAGTAAAATAATATACTTTTATAAATTTAAAACAAGAAGAACTAGAGACTAAAAGATTTATAACAAAATCAATAGAAATAAAAGACCATGATTTTTTTAAAATGGATAATAATTGAAGAAATTCATAAGATTAATGAAAAGAAGTTTTTGGTCTTAAAAAAATGTCAAATGATTTTATAAAGTATTTAATTGCCTTTCTTATTTGAGGCCACTAAAACTCTCTAGATATTAGTTTCAAAATCTTATTGAATTCAAAATTACATATTATTGGAAAGTTGTAACAAGTTTGAAGAATGTAAAATTATACTTTAGATTCTAAAACATATAAGCAATTGTGAAAGTAAAGTAGATTATTCTTAAACTCAAACTTTGAAGTATCATGAGACTTAGAAGAATTATTTTTGATATCATGAATAAGACAATCAAATGACATATTTGATTAAACATGCTTGAAAAAGATTGGATCAACTATCAATATTGATTTTATTGCTTAAAAATAAAAATGCTTTGGATTCAAGAAAATTATTCTTTATTGATTAAAAGCTATATTTTTTTCTTTTGATATAAGATAAAAATATTCAAAAAAGATTTTTGACAAATCTTATTGTTTTTTT